ACCAAGATCTTGTAAAAGATATCGTAGCCATTGAAGCTCACATGTAGCTACTGTCATTGCCCTATACTTGGCTTCTGATGAGGACCTAGATACAGTGTGCTGTTTTTTGGTTTTCCATGAAATTGGACTTGTTCCGAGAAACACACAATAACCCCTTGTTGATTGCATGAGTGTGTCGATTGTAGGGTGTATGGGTTCAAGATGTGGTAGTTGCATGAAGGGTGGTGATGGCATGGTGTTATTTGGTGAAGATTTAATAGTAAGGTTGGGCTGGAGGTTGTCATGGAATTGGTTGGGCTGAGTGTGGGATAATGTTGTAATATTTGGTGATGGAGGTATTGGTCTTGGGTCAATTGGTGCATGCAACATGTTTGAAGGATTGGTGAGTGTGGGTTGATATGTGACATCTGATAAAGGCAAAGGTAGGACTGAGGGGTCTGGGTAGTCAGTTTGTGTGTCTTAGGCTTGAGTAGAAAATGGGAATATTGCTTCATGGAATATGACATCGCGACTAGAAAAGAAAGTTTTGGTAAAGAGATCATATAGGAGATACGCCTTTTGGCCAAGAGGGTAACCCACAAAAATACATCTACGTGCCCTGGAATCAAACTTGTGTGAGGGTTTAGTGCTGGTGGCATAACATAAACAGCCAAATACTCTCATATGATTGTAGTGAGGTATGGTGTTGTGGAGCTTTTCATATGGTGTGCTTTTGGAGAGAACGGGTGTGGGTAGTCTGTTTATGATGTAGGCAGCAGTAAGAATGCTTTCCCCCCAAAATGTAAGTGGTATGTAAGTGGTAGGTGAGCTTGGAATCATAGAGCACGAGCAACATTTAAGAGATGACGATGTTTGCACTCTACGACTCCGTTTTGTTGTGGTGTTGCTGGGCAAGAATGTTGAAAAAGAATTCCCAAGTCGTTAAAAAGAGGTTGCATTGTGTCACGCCCCGGGCGCGGGGTTCTTAGCTCTAAAAATGGGTTGCTTACCGGAACTTAGCTTACTCTGATCTACGAGCACCCTTCTCTCCCTGAGGGCCCATTAAAGCTTAAAGACCAGGACTTATAAGGTCCATGCCCCCTTAAACTCTATCATTGTCAGAGAATCGCGAAAAGGCTTTCATTGCCTTCCCGTTTGTAAACCCTTGTTTGTAGAATCCTTCTGTCTCCCACATAGGTGGACTCTAAGGTGGTTGAAGCAGCTACAGTTACTCTATGGACCGAGAGGTGTACTTCATACCGCCTGTATTCTATGTGTATAGTAGTATTCCTACTATTTAGAACCATTTCTACTCATCAATTAGAATCTCAAGACGAAAAAAGGCTTTCTCCTACGTGAGAAAATAAAAAGAAAGCCAAAACATGGGTTTAAAAATAAACTTCTCTTATAAAATAGCTCCCAAAATCTTACAATTTTACAAGGAAAAAAAATAAAGCTCTACTACTCTCCTCTAATTTAGCCTCAACTTGTTTAGTCCTCGTCTTGCCCACTAATTCATCTGAAAAATTAAACAGGGTGAGGGGTGAGCAACCATAGCTCAGTAGGGACATGAGACCTTACCACAGTAGATTGATATAACTAAATTAAGTGATGTGCAATCACACAACCAAAATATCACATTACTAATAATAATAATGCATGAATGAATGCTCTTCATCTAATCCCGTTAATTCATATAATTGGACAAGTAGACCTGCACGTTCCATACCATGCTTATACCACTTGGTCCCGAATGCCCATTTATATGAATTAACACCCATTTCAATCATCCCATAATTCCCCTTTTGTTAATCATCTTGTCTAACTCCCTTTCGCCAGTCCCGAATCACCCATAAAAAAACCATGTACACTGTGGGATCCCTGAGACCTGGTACCTGCCAAGAGTTAGACTCAACTACACAAAAGACTATTTCCAATACCCTCTTTTCCAACAACTCCGACCAATTTCCATGACATGATATAATTATGCCTTTCACATATCCCATGTATCTCTCAACAATGTAACCATTTAAAACATCACCAATGTATATATAATTATGCCAACATTAATCAAATAGTTCACAATACGTAAATATCCTATATCAAGAACATTATATAATATCAAAAATATCCGTTATAATATCACACATAATATAGAGCTCACGAAATTTGATTAGATCAATCTCTGAAAAAGGAACCCCTACCTTGTTTCCAAAGCTAGCTCCAAGTTAAGAAAACACAAGCTAAGTCCTATACCTCCTCCAAGAATTTCTTCATCATCATCATCTCTCTCTCTCTCTCTCTCTCTCTCTCTGTGTATTTTATGTTTTTCTTCATGCAAACTTACAAATGCTTGCAACTTGGCTGAAATGAGAAATAAAAACAAAGGAATAGAATGGTCTATATATAGTGTGGTGAAGACGGTATCATATCAACGTTTATGTAAGATCTTAATCTCCAAGTAATATATCAATATGGCCTTGCACTCCAAGTCAACAATAGATAAGAAAAGAATTGCTAGGAAGACACGTTGGTGACTACAATCCTATTCTAATTTCTTCATGGTGAGTTGGCAAGGCTACTAGCATGCCTTGTTGACACCTAACTACCCATTCAAGAACCCTTTTACTAATGAAGCCACCTATTAGCAAAAGATACATATATAATATACATATATATAAGTTATACACACATATATATAATAGAATAGGATATTTATGTAATTATTTATGTAATACACACATATACAATATAATATAATATATAAATTAAATGGCAAAATATTAAGTCTTCAAACTATATATACTTTTATAAATACGGGGTTTCACACATTGAAATGAATTCACTTCCATTGTCTGCCCCAACTTGTTTAACACTACATTGGAATTGTGTTTTGACAAAGGCGATGAAGGATTTTAGTAGTCCTTGTGTTTCTGATTTAAACGTCATAAGATGTATCCAAGATGAAGGATTTTAGTAGTCCTTGTGTTTCTGATTTAAACGTCATAAGATGTATCCAAGATGAAGGATTTTAGTAGTCCTTGTGTTTCTGATTTAAACGTCATAAGATGTATCCAAGATGAAGGATTTTAGTAGTCCTTGTGTTTCTGATTTAAACGTCATAAGATGTATCCAAGATGAAGGATTTTAGTAGTCCTTGTGTTTCTGATTTAAACGTCATAAGATGTATCCAACATTATGCTCCTTCCCCAGGCCAATCACCTTCATCGTTTTCAGGTCCTGTAGCACCGGAATGTGAATGAGTGCGATAGGGACCCCAAATATCACAATGTATGAGATCAAAAGGCGCACGTGATGAAATTGAACTTAAATTGAAAGGCAATCTAGTTTGTTTTGCCATAGGGCAAATTTCACAATGCTTATTATGATGAAAAGAAATATTAGGAACTATCTTGGATAAAAATTGTAATGGTGCAGTAGAAGGATGTCCTAGGTGGTAGTGTCATAAATCTGGAATGGTAAAGGTGGTGTTGGCTCGAATTTTTGGTGGTGGCTTAATGGCTGTGTGTTTAGACAAGTAGTAGAGATCATTATGCTCCTTCCCCAGGCCAATCACCTTCATCGTTTTCAGGTCCTGTAGCACCGGAATGTGAATGAGTGCGATAGGGACCCCAAATATCACAATGTATGAGATCAAAAGGCGCACGTGATGAAATTGAACTTAAATTGAAAGGCAATCTAGTTTGTTTTGCCATAGGGCAAATTTCACAATGCTTATTATGATGAAAAGAAATATTAGGAACTATCTTGGATAAAAATTGTAATGGTGCAGTAGAAGGATGTCCTAGGTGGTAGTGTCATAAATCTGGAATGGTAAAGGTGGTGTTGGCTCGAATTTTTGGTGGTGGCTTAATGGCTGTGTGTTTAGACAAGTAGTAGAGATCATTATGCTCCTTCCCCAGGCCAATCACCTTCATCGTTTTCAGGTCCTGTAGCACCGGAATGTGAATGAGTGCGATAGGGACCCCAAATATCACAATGTATGAGATCAAAAGGCGCACGTGATGAAATTGAACTTAAATTGAAAGGCAATCTAGTTTGTTTTGCCATAGGGCAAATTTCACAATGCTTATTATGATGAAAAGAAATATTAGGAACTATCTTGGATAAAAATTGTAATGGTGCAGTAGAAGGATGTCCTAGGTGGTAGTGTCATAAATCTGGAATGGTAAAGGTGGTGTTGGCTCGAATTTTTGGTGGTGGCTTAATAGCTGTGTGTTTAGACAAGTAGTAGAGACCATTATGCTCCTTCCCCAGGCCAATCACCTTCATCGTTTTCAGGTACAAAAGTTAGGATGAAAAATGACGATACAACTCAAATCACGAGTAATTTTGCTGACTGAGAGTAAATTGATCCGAAAAGAAGGTACATGAAGGAAAATTTTTTTATGAATAAATTTGGATTAACTTGAACTGAACCAACAGATAGGATATCTATGTGTGAGCCATTAGGTAAACCAACAGTGCCATGGTAAGGTGTTTGATGCAAAAGAGGGGAGGATATATGATCACTTGCACCACTATCAATAATCCAGGCTGTATAACATTTGCGATTGGGTTTACCTGTCACATTTCCACAAAACTGGGTTTTACCGAGTAAGGCCCTTATCTGATTGTACTCATCCTCTGTGAATTGAGGAAAGTTCTGATGCGTATTCTCTGCAGTGGTGGGTTTGGTCGTGCCGTGAGCATTATTGGCTGTGAAGCGCTTGTTCCTGTTGGTGGCTTAACTGCTTTGCCATGGAACTTGTGCCCTGGTGGAAAGCCGATGATGTAGTAGCAGTGATCAACTGTGTGTGTTTCACCTTCATAGTGTGTGCAATACAAGGATTTCCCTTTGTTGTCTTGTGATTTTGCAAGCTGCCTATTCTCTGTGTTCTTTGTGCTTTTCTTCACGTTCATGGCATGAATAGAGCCGTCACGAGCATCAGCAAGTTGCCGCTGTTTTTCTTCTTGGAGTAAGAGTGAGTAGATTTTTCTAATATTGGGAAGTGGCTGCATCAAAAGGATTTGTCCATGAATGGCAGAATATTTAACCCCATGAGGAATTGGAGGATCTGCTCCTGCTTTTCCCTTTCAGCAATCTGCTTCAAACTTGCACAGTTACATGAAGGTGGATCGTTGTACGATCCCAGTTCGTCCCAAAAGGATTTGAGCGTTGTATGGTAGACGGCTATGGACTGTTGTTGTTGACGGTGCTCAATGATCCCTCGTTTGAGTTCAAAAATACGGGAAAAATTCCCTTGTGAGAATCGTTCATTAAGATCTGCCCAGACTTCAGCGGCTGTGTTGGAGAAGATCACGGTATTGGTCAAGGTTGGGCTGATTGAATTGAGGATCCACGACTTCACGATCTGATTGCATCTTCTCCAAGCTCCATATTTGGGATCCTTCGCCGAAGGTGCTTTGATTGTGCCGTAGACAAAGCCAAGCTTATTCTTAGCTTCAAGAGACATCATCATGGCGCGACTCCACGTCGCATAGTTGTCACCCTCCAAGGGTCGAGTGACAATAACGTGCCCAGTGTGATCTGAAGGGTGAATATAATAGGGATCGTTGAAATCCATAACCTTTGTCAACTTCTTCTTTGATAAAGTTTCAGTCATGGTGGTCAATGATATTGGCGGAAGCAAAGTGAGCAATATCAGGCACCAGGATGGTGCTCTGATACAATAAAGAAACTGATACTGGAGAAAAGAATGAGAAAGGTTTCTCTATATTTTCTTGTGTATCTGTACAACTCATATACATGGTTATAAAGGAGTACGTCTAGTCTAAAAGAGGTAAACTGACAGACAAACATCTAAACTTTAGGACCTAATTACAGCAATTACAATTTGATTTATTCACTGAGATTCGATCCACAAATCAAGCTTTGATTGGCGTTGACTGTGATGACTGTGATTTCCAACAGTTCCTGCATAATTTGGTTCAAAGTTCCTTGCGAATTGCAGTGCTTCTTTCATAAGGAGGAGAGTCGTTGTATCCTAGGAGGCGAATGCTAGTGAACCATAAGCAGCAGTGTAGGTCCTAATTCGTCTTAAGGTCAAAGTGTCAAACATTTGCCTCGGCTCAATTATTCAGGTTCTTCTAATTCATATTATGTGATTTTTTATTGTGTATGTTTGTAAGCATGCATCAATTTTTAAAGCATAAATTGAATGATTATTTCTGAATTTCTGTGTAAAATATAGCAATTATACCCATTTTTTCCAACAGAAAATACGTGGGATTTTGTATCGAGCTGTCCCATGACACCACCAGCTTTTGTATCCTCGAATGCTTTTAACTCACTTGCGCGGTCACTGTAAGTAGCCCAGTTGTAAGTTCATCATCTGCGCTTACTGTGGCCTCCATTTTCTCTATAAAAAAATTTGAAGTCAACGTGAGGATCCACCAGATTATAGAGAAAGCTCTACAGTAATTGTTGTAACATCCAAGAGGTTACTGTTAAAACAATAATCGTATGCTGTGTGTTTTGTTTGGGTTTTTATTTTGTTTTAGTTGAACCCTGGATTTTATGCTGAATTTGTAATTGGGCTCCCATAATTAGTCGTATGCTCTCTAATTTGGTTATGAAAATTTTCATTTCCTTTGACCGAAAAATAAAATAAAATCCTTAGTCACTTTTCAAATATCTTAATGAACCAAGTCATTAATGAACCTTGGCATGACAAAATGACAGCGACTGAGGTTCCAAGGTTTTGAGTGCGACATTACTGAACCAGTATAAAATGAAGTTAATGTCCGGTGAAAAAATAAACAATTTCAAACAGGACCTAAGTCAGCGCCAAAATATATGCATTAATTGTATTTCAATAAAATGATTTTTTTGTTTTGTTTTGGGTATGGTATTCTAAGAGTCAATATACAATCATCACGAAATGGACTTTTGTTTTATAAGCAATTTTTATGCGGTAACTTTCCCTATCAACCAAATCACAAATTACTAGATAGTTGTGCTATGGCATCAACATCACACTGACGACTGTATTTTTTTTCTTCAAGAAGTACTGTTATTAGAAGACCATTCGCTAATAACAAAGGATTATTGACAGACAATTTGAGACCCTGGAGAGGATTATTGACTCAACATACAGAGTGACCACCAACCAACAACAAAACTAAAACACAAATAAGAGGTCCAAACAAATGGGCCCCACATCCTGCATAACCCTTTTCATCCCTTCAAAGCTTGAAATGTTCTAATGCTGAGTTCCCTTTTACGAGTTCTGAGAGGTAGTACTTCAGATAGTCTTTAACACTAGTTTCTCGATAGATTTGAGGATTTTCTTCTGACAACAACTCCTTGATTGGTCCATAAACTTTTGGATTTTCTGCATGTGGTCTAAAGAAGGTTGGCACAGAAACTCTTGGGCCCACACTCTGCGCTAGAACTCTGTGGTTAACACTAATAAACTTGTCATTTGAGATGAGCTGCACAAAAACAACGCAAAGTTATAAGTTTATTGAAAGTTAATTTATACGTAAATCTTTGTTATTATTTGGTATTGATAGATTTAGTACAATGAAAAGTTGGTTATATATATAATTGTAATAATGAACTTGCCTGCAGAAGATCTCCAACGTTGACAACAAGAGCTCCATGCGTGGGAGGAACATCAATCCATTGATTCTCATATAAAACTTGGAGGCCACCCACTTGATCTTGTAAGAGTACGGTGATGAAGCTTCCATCAGTGTGCTTGTTGGTGCCCATAGTCAATTTTGTTTCAGGACATGATGGATAGTAGTGACCCATAATAGAAAGCCCCTCAGCACAGTCCATGTACGCGTCTTTAAGTTGGTTTGGATTGAGCCCAAGAGCCTCAGAAAGCAACTCAAACAAAGTAAATCCCAAATCCTTCACTAGCTTTGAGTACTCATTCACTATATCTCTGCAACTCGAAGTCATCAAGTTCACTCATGAATTTCATTTACTGAATGATGAAAATAATGGTAAAAGACTGAAAGGTGTAAATTATAAACTAACCATGCAGGGAAGTCATGTACAAATTTTAGTTTATGTATTATAAGGAAATTATTTTTCTCATGAAATGTATTATCTTGCATGTAATGACTGAGTAAACATAAATTTTTTGATGTACGAATGTAAAACCCGCCTTTTTGGTAATATTTTATTGAGTATAAACTCCTCGTTCATTCATGGTATATTACATAGTAGCATCCTGTTACCATCACAAAGAAAATTTGTCCAACGCTAAATGCATGGTGGTTAGACTAGAGTGTATAAAATGTTACATACATAAAAATTTAATTAATACGTAGTGCCATGCATACCTGCACACTGAGGGTAATTCGTCTGCTGGTTTGGTTGGATCAGGAGCCATGTAGCACACAAACGTATCCCTCGAGTTTCCTTGTGAAGATTTGAAAAAGCGATTATTGGACATATACTGCTCCTTGTTCCCAGCATCCTTTGAACACAACTGTTTCTTAAGATCACTATCCTGCTCATGGAACTCACGTATTCCATGCAGCATCCCATCCAAAATTTCAACAGGAATTCCGTTTTGAACTTGAAAGAAACCCCATTTCTCACATGCGTCTCGAATTTGCTCGACGATTTCAGTTCGAAAAACTGAGTTGCTATGGATGCCTTTAAGGTCAATGGTTGGGATACCGAGTTGGGAAACACTTCCCTGCCTCTCATCTGCTCTTGTTGTGGCCATCATTTTCTTTTCGTTTTTTGGTTTTGGATCAAACAACGTACGTGATTAACAAGTAGAGCCTCTAGTATAAGAAAGTAGAAGCCTTTCGCTGATTAGAAAATACAAGCAGAAGAGGAAGAATATAAGGCAGTTTGTAAGAGGAGCTAATTAGTGCTTTGTTTAACAATGTACAGCAATATATATATACACACACACACACGCTGCACCGGAATTCCCAAATAAAAAAATGGTGATTCAGATTTAGACCTTTCAACTTAAAAAATGGTCATTCAAGGGTGCCTGCGGCAGCCTCTTTTGCAGCCCATTTTTTTCCCAAATAAAAAAAATGGTAATTCAGGTTCTTCTGGGACAGTTGCACCGGGTTAGCTTTTCAATATTCTTACTGCACATGTTAATGCTATTGGTTAAAAATTCTTATCTTTTGACAAAAAAAATATTTAAAAAATTAAAAAAAGTCTAGACCCAAATCCACCTTACCGCTAGAAACCCACCACCAATATAACAACTACCAAACGTTAAATTGTGTGTTTAAATCCATTATAGTTTTAGATTAGCTAAACAAGAAATTTTACAAATTCTAGAACATTAATTTTCATTATTTATGAATTTTTTAGTACTTTTAAATTTCCTCATCCAAAATTTTAACTATAACTATACTCGCTAATATATGGAGTCATAAAAGCTTTAATTTTTATTTTGTTTTATATAAATACAAGCGATCAATATTGACATAGGCCTAGGGGAGATTCAGACAAAAGACCTCGGATGTAGGTGTGTGGTCTTAACCACTTGAGCTACAAGCTCTTTGCAACCAATCAATATTGTGTTACGACTGAGGAGGATGTTTCTTTTTTAATTGACCGTAGTTGCTCCCTGTCTACATAGAATGATATAATAACAAATAATAGCCAATATTAAATAAATGTATTAATTATTAAAATAAAGCAGTATTAATTATATGGAGACACTAAGAGCTTCTAATCTTTATATTTTAGGATGTAAAAAGGAAGCATCTCTGGAGTTGTAGTTTAGGGAGCCTATTTGTAGATGCTTTAAGACCTCGTCGTGCATTTTCCCTTTTAACCTTCTTTAGTTTTAGCCCTTATTTAACTCCTAATTTAATGGGCATTCTATTTGAGGAGGGAGGACAACTTAACAGTAAGCAAATATCAATTTTCAACATTTATCATATCAACATTGACATATATTTTTCGGTCTTTTTTTATTTTTATTTTTAATCACTAGTGATCCTAAACTTTTTATCCTCATTTTAGTCATCAAACTCTCAAATCAATCAATGTGGTCCTTTATATTTTGGCTTACACATCAATTTGGTCTCTATTGTCTCATTTTGACAAAACTTTCGATAAAATTGGTCACATGTCATTGGGTGACCCACTAAAGGGATATTGTCATCTAATTATAGATCATTTTAGCCTCTTTTTTCACAAAACGATATTCTAAACTAATTTAATGCACGGGGATGAGGATCAAACTTGGGTGCAATGGGGAGCCCACACTGTCTTGGGCAGCTGACATAATTCACATTACGTATAGGTCATTTGAGCCCTCAAACTCACATTTTTGCTTCACGAGGCCATATTCTCTACAATTGGGGTTTCACTTTGGGATTCATCAAGGAGAGCATATAGCCTTGTTGAGCAAAATATGTGAGATTTACTTTGTTTCATCAGTAGATAGGTTGTATTTTAGGTAATACCCCTTCAAAGTTGGTTAGATGATAAATTTTATCGGAGACTTTAATGGAATGAGATTAGAGAGACCAACAAATTAAAGATCACACTGATTGATTTGAAAGTTTGAGTACTCAAATGAGGACTTGTGAAAAGTTCATAGACCATTAGTAATAAAAACTAAAGTGATTTTTTTAGATTAGTTTAGTGCATCTATAT